GGGAGAACAGTGGGAATACAAAGAACTGGATGTGGTCAGGGAAGCTGCCAAGAGACCTACAGCAACTCTGAAGGAGCTGCAGGAACATCTGGAAGTATTGGTTGTGGAGTACATGTTACAACAATCTCCGGCCTTCTCCACATCGCGTGTTTAGTGCAAAACCAACACTTTGCATCGTCAGAAGAACGCCGTACCCACTGTGAAGAGTGATAGTGGCCACGCTTTCAGACTGCTTCTCTTCAGCTGTAACAGGCCTTTAGTCGAGATGAAACAAAGAAGACGAAGAGGAACTTCACCTTCAACATGAGAGCTGCGGGTTTACACCGAGAGTCATGTTGAAGACAAACGTACAGATTAGACACGCAGACGTGTAAAGCGGCGTTTCATCCATGTGCCACACTTTTCACAGGATGTCGTTAGTAACATGTGAACATCTTTTGTAGTAACACACTTTTGTGTCACATTTAACATCCGTTTCTGTTTTTTTCTGTCTGTTTGGTTACAACATGCAGGGACCCACACAGCTCAGCATCGCCTCAGGTGTGATTGTTGGTTATGACATCATCTGTTGAGCAGCACTCAAATGTAACTCTGGGAGTTTTAGACTCGTTGGTTTGTCTCATCGGATTATCTGACTAAGAAATCATCCGTGGATTCATCACAGAGAAAGCTTTCAGTGATGCTGGGGCCTTTTTTCTAAACACTGGTGACTAATGTTTGACATGTTTTTGTGTCCGTCAGGTTTTTGACTTCCTGATCCGTCTCCACTCAGCTGACTCGTCCGAGGAAGAGGACGTTTTTCCATTTATTCGTACACTCCTCCACTTTGACACCAGGGAATTTCTCAATGTTCTCGCCATGGTGAGATTAAAAATCTGGGTTTTTATTTTGTTTGTTTTTGTTTGTGTTTAGCCTGGCTTGGTTTGATGGTTTAATGGTTTACCCAGTTGGCTGGTTTCCCCGGTTCGACTGCAGGAGGAGATGCAAATTCCCCTGGGAAGATCATCTGTCATTAAAATATGGCAAACAGAGACAATTATGAACATAAAGAATCTTACAAAGACCAGTAGTGGGCATACAGAGCAGCACATGCAGAGACAGTGATCAAACACAGTGCACTCTGCATGTACAGTATAAACTTGGAATAGATAACTTTATATAGATACTTTTCCAAGTTCCTCACATCTTAGCTAGCTCTGTCACACAGGAGTTATCAGTGCGCTTCAATGCTAACATGCACATTTTTTGTTTTTAGATGTTGAATTCACAGGTCAGTGTTTCTG